CAGTACCTCGGGAACCAAAGACCATGCTTTGTCACTAGGCCAGCTTGCTCCCCATAATTTGAGGGTAGTGCAAGAGGGGAGTAACAGAGCTTCACAGTGTATGGTGTTTTTGACATACTTAAAAAGGACACCAACCAGCAATGTTTCAGAACCCAAAAATTTCCTGATATGGTGTCTTATTCATTGATGCCGTTTAAGTCTATCTGAGATTATTGTTTGTGATCCTATTCATCAAAGTCTAGGATCAAAGTCTAGGTCTCAAAAGCTAGACTTAAAAACAATCTTTGTCTTATTCCATATTCCAAAGATCCCACATATACCTTCTTCTTAGCTACGAGGGTTGTTTTTTTAAGTAAAGGTCGTTTGTGCGTATGGCTCCATGGTTCACAAGTATGCCGCAACGAGGCTCCTTGATCTTATCTCACATGCAGCGGGAGATTCGATAAGTTTAAATTTTTTCTAAACCCACAGTAAAGCATAGGACATGTCAGCTATGGAGCTGCAAATGGTGAAATTCTTTTCACAAAAGATGCCAGTTAGCGGCAAGGTGCCTTGTTGCGGTGTGAATGATAACTACAGAACCATACACAAAAACAGCCCTTACATAAAAAACTTCTCTCATAGTTAGGATCATTGGTCCTTCCAAAACCTGTATTTTGTCTCTTGGAGTCGGTTGGATAGAATTGTTTAAGTGTGCAGAAAAGTACTAGTTTAATTTTCTTACGCTCAACACTTAGCATGTTATTCATATATGAAAGAGTAAAAATTCCTCTTGTAAGTTTCTTTCGCTTGGTAAAAAGTTTACGAAGCTCATTTAAAAACCTTCTTTATTAGGCTGGACAGTGGCACTAGATTCATTCCTCCTTCAGTGAACAAAAATGAGCGTTTCATAAGATTAATTCTGTCTACTGCCAAAGCATGCATTCCAAGGGGTTATAGAGAGGACTATTAATCAAATGCAGTTAAGAGATAAATATGAAGAGTTTGCTTGAAATGTAAAGATATGTGCTGATCAACTGCTAAACACTACTGAAATAAGAGTAAAATGTTTGAAACACTTGGTGTGAGAAATAAAAAACTTATACTTATCACACAGCAATAGAAAAGCTTAGTGTGTTTCTATAAAACCTTACAGGTAAATCTAAAAGCCAATATGAGGTTCTGTCGCTTACCCCTTGTTCATTTGAGAATTAACGTAATACTTACCTAGACCCCAACATAGAACACTTGATAGGTAAATCAACTTTAAGGTTAATTAAATCGAGAGATGTCGTCAAGTACCATTACATATTGTAAGGCCCTTTTTGCTTTACTGACGGTGATTTAGAAGGGGCTATCACTGCTTTGCTGGGAAAGCATCAGGTTTAGGTGATATTTCCTCAGGATTTACTATAAATTCTGGATATCCCTAAACAGGTCTTTCACTTTCGTCTAAATTTTACAAGTAAAGTGAATGCATCACTATAAGTTTCCACACCCATTTTTTCTCCTTTAAGGTTTCCTCCCCATTGCAGTTTTCTTACACAAATAACAATACATTTCTAAAATGCCCGATAGTTTGATTAATTCACATGCTCACAGGTTGCAACTTTAAGTAAAAAATTAAAGTAATTGTTAGTGACCTGGAAAGCCATACTAAACTTTTTAACTTTAGCAGATTATATGATTGCATGTACAGACAAATTTTAATTTGACGGGGTTGGAACCCCTTTGGAGCCCTGGGGCTCTGGCCCCCCCCCATCCCCACCCTCTAGCCATCCCTGAGTAGTGGTGAATAGTTCTAAGTTTCACAAAACAATATAAGTGGTTTAAATACATGTATTTTATGTAATCCAGGTGGTTGCGGTAGCAACTAGTTTCGGTTCAACACTGGAACCATCATTATGTCCTGGCTTCACAAGGACATTGTCGCTTCTTGAGAAGGTCGTCACAAATCACACAACAAATTTACAAAACATTAAAAACACGACACGGATGACTAGAAACAACGCGGCTGGCGGGAGTTTACGTTTAGACTCACGTCCCCGTTTAAGTCTAGACGTAAACTACCTCAACCACTTGGATTACATAAAATACAGGTATTTAAACAACTTATATTGTATATTGATAATCCGGAGGCTATACATATTGAAAAATTTCGCAAAACGTAACCCCACCTACACGTAGCCCCGCAAACATGGTCCTTCATGTCGGCAGACATGTGCGGTCTGTAGTCCGTCTGTCAAGTCTGGCTGTTACCACACACAATCCGACCAATGTTCCGAACTGCCGTTCTGACTGTGAAATCTTTGTGCAGCTTTGGTTTTATTCGGCAAGCATCAGGGCTTCATTTTTTGAAATCTTCTTTAATTTGAATATTTCTCCTTGTCTTATATACGAGTACAATCAATACTAAATAATCCTGGTTGGTTTGAATAATATTTTGGACGGTTCAAAGTTACTCAAAAAAGACATGTGTCCCAAATTCAAGTGCATCAATCTTGCCTCAAGTGTTTGTTGCTATGTACTGTTTGCTTCGTATGTCCCACAAACACAGCATACTCCTGTACAATGCAATAAACTCTCCCAAAACCTTTTGTTGTCACTGCACATTTTAAATCGATTTTACTCTAAAATGTCCTTAAAAACAAGTAGAGTTAACTGCCAGTACGCAGACCAAGTCTGTTGAGCCCATACACGGTCCGACGGGATCGTTTGTTTTGGCCTTGTCGGCCAAGTCCGTCTAGAATTTTCAACCGTGGACTTGTCCGACTGTCTGCGGACTCAGTCTGTTTTACCCACACACGGTCCGACGCGGTCAGTGTCGGATGAGTCGGCAAACATGTCTGCTGACATGTCAGACCGTGTAAATGAAGGCGATGATGTCAGACTAACTTGGCAAATCCAATTGTGTTAGTTTGTATGAATGTAAAATGAATAATGTAACTCAAAAATACATAACATGCTAAATAAATATAAAATAGGAATATGGATATAGACTATAAAGTGTAGCCGATATTGTTTTGTAAGCTCTGACAGTCGTCAGTAATGGAAAATCAAGACAGCAAACAGACAAATGTATCAATCAAAGCAAATCTTTATAAATACATGATGTTGATAGAAATAAAATGATGATGATGATAGATAATATCTTTTTATGTTAGGAAAAACTAGAGCTGGATTCCCGCTGAATATGACCAACGACATATGTTTGAATAGCATTTAATTTCTTAATTGATTGACTTAATTAATTACAAGTTTATGTGTGGCTACAGTTCTCAACACCATATTTGAAACTGGAGAATTGCTCGATATCGACCCTTCATATCACTCTTCCTATGTTGCTCAGATTTGTATTTCTAGATTGTAAATACTGCAATAATTGTCAAAGTTGTTTGTTTATATAATGTACCTGCTTGCTGCTAAATGCATAACTGTTATCTTGTCAATTGTAAAATGATTTTACTAATTTAAGTGTATACTGTATTGTAATCTGGTTTATGCTGTCAATGAACCAATCAAATTGAATTGAATTGAACCTCTTTAGACTGAGAGCTACTGCCTCATAGGCCTACTATAAGTATTTGTGATAAGATTTCCAAACTGATTTTGCACCTTTTTATTCTGTGTCTCCCAACCTCCACAATTTCAAGCAGAGAGTTAAAGTTCTTTCACCCAACTCAAAGATGTACAGAAGCCAATGCTCGCTCCATTGATTTTCACTGTGCATATACTGTAGCTAACTTACCCTTAACATTACCCTTACTAGTAAATTTATGTATTCTGATGATATTGCCTTACATAGAGGCAAGAGGAAACCCCACAGGCCGAGGAGGCACTACCAAATGACCTTACAACCATCAAAAATATTTTAGTTCCTGAAAGCCAAATCCAAACTCTTAAAAATTTGGATTTTTCCAGTATCTATTTGAAAACCAACCTTGCCAATTTTGAGATCAATACCACCGATAGTAGAGATAGTAAAGAGATCAATCACCAACAGTAACTTAGGTTCATCGTAGATCTCTCTCTCGTGTTTAATATCCACTTATGTAAGACAGTTAAGCTATCAAGCAGCATTAATACCTTACATCACCTCGCTGAGTCTTCATGAGGCTCTATATCTGCTGTGTCCTCTCAAGAGACTTTCTTCCTTCTAGCTATCCAATATTTTCTTAGCTATATTGTCCTGTCATATTAAAATGATACACATCTACATAGTTCTTCTACACTACAATTTGGTCGTATACATTCTTGTTTGTTTTTTTTTTTCAAGAATATCCAAATGATTCATTGTGCGCCCTTCTTCCCCAAAATTTTTCAGTTAATTTCTGAAAAACTTAAAAGAAACCTAGTTTTTAAAAATATATTTTTGAGTACCAACTTTTAACCATTCAACCAAGTTAAGTTTCCAAAGTAAGTATGTGTAGTTATACAACCAATTAAAAAAGTGATTAAGTGATTTACAGGTTTACAGGTTTTGTAAGTAGAACATTTTTTTTTACTTTTTATTTATTTACATTTCAACACATAGGTAAATAAAAATATAAATTTAATTGTATATGAACTTGCACAAATAACACCCTACTTTCTTACAAAGTAGTAATTAGACAGTCACAGGCTAAAATTGGAGGTTGGACTTGGACATGAAACATTTCCAACTTCAAGACAACATTGACGACTAACAAGTCACAGGAATACTATATAATCCAATTCATAACTATTAGCAATACTACTTTCATAGGGGAGTACAGAAAATTCAATGACTATAGAAATAATCTTTACACTTTAAAACTTAGAAAGAATTTAGAAAACGTAAATCCAACCAAATTTTTTGGGAGAAAGTTATCGCTCTTATTTTTATTAAAACTTTTTTTTTTAAATTAAAATGGGATTTTCACTAGTATTTACTGTTAAGTATATGGCACTTTAAACGATCATCAAAAATAAATTTTTTAAGGAACCTACCTCCAATTTTAGCCTGTGACTGTTAGATTAATTTGCATTTGAAGGAGAATTGTTTAGCGTTCAGGACTATCTAAATGAAAAATGTCATTGGCTTCTTCGTCAAAGATATCAATGATGTCTTCGTTAATTTGTAGAGGAAAAGGACTCTGACACACATGTCTGGTTGAGTAGCTGTGTTGCTGTCTGAAAGTCTCCAGGTATTCGTCATCTCCCGGAGCCTGAGGGATGGGTTGGGGAGAGGAAGGCGCATTAGGAAGTGAGAAGCAAGTTTCACATTGAGGGGGGTTTGTACTGGCTGCATTGTGTCTTGGTTCTTCAATCCTTACATATCTCATAGCGTTGTAATCACGAATCAGCCCTCTGCACTTACGATAAGCCACCATGAACGATTCAATTGACAAATAGATGGATAGGAATGCCACAAGCAAGATGAGAATAAATCCACCTGAAAACACACATTATGAATCTAGAGATGCAATAAATCCTGACTGAATTTTGACACAAATAGTTTCAGATTCTATTGTGTATTGTGGCGATTTTTTGCACCGTCTTTTAATGCCAAATTATAATGTAAGCATAACCTAGGTACTTAGAGGTGTTCTGCATCTCTATGCAATTTTCATCCAACCTTATTTAAAAACAGTGTCATAAATTTTATTGTTCATGTTAAATCTTGGTTCTGCCTTTGAACCCCTGCAAGCCCTGAGTACATTACTATTGTATATTTTATGTAAAAATTACAACACCAAAATACATTTTTCATTTACTCTGAGGGTGTCTTCTATTAAATTTATAATAATTGAAATTGAAATATTTTTCGAGGGGCTGGTGTTTTAAAGTGTATGGCAAAAATCTTTCTATTGCCAATACTCTCTACTCTATTTTGGTTTCATAGTTAGTTTTTTTTTTTTTTTTTTTTTTTTTTTTTTGGCGTGGAAAAGTGTATTTCTCCTGATGTAAAGAAGAACTCCTTATCTGCATAGTGTGAAAGAAAAACAAGAATGGATATTCATCAGCGTAACTAAAATAGGGGGAGAGGTGACACACTTAATGTAGATTGAAAAAAATTATATTTAAAACACAAAACTCGGTCTGGCTTGGCCTTAAGAAGAGGAATGGACACAGTCGGATATTGCAAGAGTTTTGTTAATCTGAGGTCAGGAGGTGGGTTTTACTGTACTTAATGCAAATATGGTTGAAATAGTTTCAATCAAACTTAAGTGAAGGATATTCACGACGCTAAGTAATATATCATAGCCAACAATAGCCCAGATGACGGATCCATTTATAGACCACTCTTTAGGGTCGTAATCGTATTACTCTTCACCCTTGGGATTTAAAGTTAGCTGCCTTATTATTCCGCAGTCGCAGATCTAAGATTAGGCCTACTTCCTCTATGACCTATTTGTAGATTCTTGTGTTTGATTTGACTTAAAACTATTCAACCTCAACACACCACCCACTGATGATCTAGAACAGCAGTTCCCCTACTACGTCCTATAGGGTCGAGGGGACAATTTTGGTGGGTCGGGAGAAGAAATCAATCATGAACATTTATTTTTACTCAGTCCCGAAAATGGGATATTTTTTCACTATCCGAACGGTCGGGTAAGCAATAGAATATCTAGCGAGTAGCATGGGATGGTATACTAAAATGTAAATATAGTTTCTTGCTCCAAACAAGGAACGTTTAAAAAATAAAATATTTGCAAGGTTATTATTCCTCGTTATTAAATTTAAGGTGGGGTTTGAGTAGTATTTAGATTATTGTAGGGTTGGGAAACTCGTTCCAAGATTACGTTTGTGAATAATGTCTGCAAAGTTTTGCGGTCGAAAATTCTCAATAATGTTGTGATTGTAGCAACTTAAACTTCAACTAATTGTTACACTGATCATAATGTCACTGCGATCACAAAATATGGTCTTGGTGTTGCCACAAAAGGGTGAGTTGATCACAACGTCGCTTCGCCGTGATCATTAGAGATGATCAGGGCTAACAGTCTGGGTGGCTTTTATGATAAATGCAATACTTGACCAAAACACTTAAATAAATTCATAACTTTTGAAAATCTTATTAGATATTAACATTTATTAGAGTGAGAAAAGGTCCTCCACCTGATTTTGGGTGGAAAAATACTCATGTTGTCAATATTTAATTCAGTCTTACACAGTAAACTTCAGCTCCAGAAGTCTTAAGGATTGAAAATTGCTTAAATATAAATTGTGTTTTGACTACATAAAGCCATCATGAATTCAAAAACGCCACCTTAACAATTTTAATTTAGGTGTGTATTTCTCAGTGGAATTTTAAAATGATAATGGAGGATGTTTAAGATTGTCTGCTATTGCGGGAAACAATAACGATGTTTCCATGACTGCAGGAGACAATGTCTGCACGACTGCGAGAGAGGTTTTGGATTTTGCAGCGATCACTGCTTCAGCCTTCTTATATTACAATTCTCATTATTGTGGTTTTAACTCTTTGAAATGTTTTTCTGTGATTTTAATAATCGGTAATTCTTATAGTTGGAGTTCGAATAATTGGAGTTCTACTGTAGACATTGAAATACTAACTTAAAAATGTGTAAGTATTAAGGTATGCATTCTTACTTCCAGAAGTGGCCCACTTTGCGATGTCACGTAATTTACTTTTGGTCATGTCTTGTGGTGTGTAATCTTTCATCACATTCTCCCTAAGGATATCTGCAGCAGTAACAGAAGACGTCACAATTGCAGCCTCGATGATGATGTAGATGAACATAGTATTCATTTTCCCCTCTTTTATTTGAAACCTGAAAAATTATAATGTTTTATGAATTTAAAAATGTTACCATCAATTTATCAGTAAACATTAGCAGAGTTCCCTTTAATAGCAAAACATTCTCCCTAACTCATATCTGACCAGTATTGTCTGAAGAAAGTTATACCATGTAGGCCCATCTAAAATCTTGGATACTGCGCAAGTCATGAGACAGTTTAATATACATACATAAATATATATATTTATATATATATAACCAATACAGATACTGCTACAAAATTTGGCACAAAGTTACTAAGCATATAAATCATTTTAACTCAATGACAGCCCCAACAGCTGATGGAACAGCTGGAGAAATTCACCTTGTCTTTCCTTAATAATTAGAATCGTTATCTTAAGCTAAAATGAACAAGCTTAAAAATTATTGTCATTAAATACAGGGTGGAAAAAGTACCGGAACTGTTAAATATTTCAAAAATTAATAAAGATAATGATTTAAACTTAGTACACAGTTACTGAACATTAAAATCATTTTAACACATTATGCAGTGATGCGCTACCTCCTCAGGGGGATGGCCCGCTATGAGTCAGAATGAAATCTTAAATATAACCATAGGTTGATATGAACATAAAATTAAAGGTCTTGTTAGTAAAATCATAGACAAAAAGAAATAAATATAGACTGTCAGCTGTGCTGCGGTTAGCGTATATTCCGGCGCCGACCGCTAGGGGTAATGTGTAGTTACGGCGCACACTGCTGCATCATCAAGCGCTAGCGACCATTTCCATAACAACTTGGTAGTTGGGAGTAGTGTTGCCAACTTTGGAGGAATTCCCCGGAATTGGAGTTTACTGACTTATTTAATATTAAGCAATAAATTAATTTAAATGCCATCATTTATTGTATTTTTTTAACATATATTTGTTATACTTTTGTAGTTTCATTACAATGATTCAAAGTTTTTCTTTATTAATCCATAATATTAGGAAGTGGTTTATTAGAAAGGTTTTGTTTTATATTTGCAAGGTCAAAATCTAATTTCTAGATTTCTAGTAGTCGGGGAAAACGGGAAGGTCAGGTATTAGTTTTGAATTTCTAAATGGTCTTGAAAAGTTGGGATTTAGTCTTTATTTTGATATCAAAGTCGGGAAATTTAATGATTTTACCGCGATCGCGCTAGACAACGATCACGTTTCCGTGACGGCGCAAGACGATGATGATGTCTACACGACCGCGGGAGATGTTCTTTAACCGCGACCGTGCTAGACGACGTTCTTGTGACCGCAGTAAAAAATGATCACGTCTTTTCTACGATCACGCAAGATGAGAATGTCTACACGGCTGCTGAAGATGTTCTCAATTTTGCCGCAATCGTGGACGACGATGACGTTTCGGGACCACGGCATTCAACGACGATGTCTACACAGCCGCGGAGGATGTTCATGATTTTGACACGATTGCAGAAGACGATACTAGCGATATAGTAATCATTTAGTTTGCAAGAGTGGTAGTGTTGGTAACAGCTGGCAAGTAGTCGATGATGAAATCGAATAGAATACCGATAACCTATATCGAACGGCGATAACGCTCTAGCGGCAGATCGCAAAACCTTTCTTTGACAGTCTATATTTACTCTATTGTCTATGGTAAAATACAATACCAGGTCAAAAATGAGAGCTATTCAAAGATGCATTGATTTTGCATTGCTACTATGTGCTACCTCCTCAGGGAGGCGCTTGCTAGAAGTCGGTAGAAAACCATAAACGTATGCATAGGTCGATACGCACATAAAATGACAGGTCTTAATTAGTAGAATACATTGCCACAAATTTGAGCTCAAAAGAACAACTGAGTAAAAAATGGCAGCCATTAAAAAATTCAAAATGGCAGATTCAACAAATTTTTGAATGGCTGCCATTTTTGACTCAGTTGTCCGTTTGAGATCAAATTTGCGTAACTGTATTCCACTAGTAACGACCTTTAATTTTATGTGGATATCAATCAATGCTTACATTTAAGATTTTCTTCTGACTCCTAGCGGGCCGTCACCATGAGGAAGGAGGTAGTGTATCACTGAATAATGTGTTTAAATGATTTCAACGTCTATTAGCTATGTACCAAGTTTTAAAGTTATACTTTTATTACTTATTAAAATATTTAACTTTCCCAGGACTTTTTTCCACCCTGTACATCAGGACAAAGCACATACACAAAAATAATTGTCATTCAGTTACTTACCCTCAATTCCAATTTCTGGGAATAGTATTCCTCTAACAAAAACGTTGATAATCTACTAACACAGTTGCACAAACAGTAGGCCTACCTTGACCAAAGCTACACTTTGAATGATCAGTAGAGAGAAGAGGTGAGGTTTAGCAGAGTGAGTCACAAGATCAAACGGACGGACGTAGGAGATGGAAGAATAATGCTAGCTCAGCTACAGATAACATATGCGCCAACCACATTCGCCGACATAGCAAAGGACTGTTCTTGGACCATTTGAACTAAATAGAAATAAAAAATAAACTACTGTTGGTATTTAGACAATATTTACCCCACAGATAATGTTATCGTTTGTCATAGTACTAGAAAATATTGTGTTTTTTTTTATAATAAAGGGAAAAACTGAACTTGCATCAATCTAAATGTTTGGAGTTTTTATTAACTTTAACAATGTATACTTTATTTTATAAATGTCTCATTTGTTGCCATTTAGCAAACTTGTAACTTCAAACTTTCCTATTAGCTCATTTAGTGTCATCACAGCACATTACCATGCACAATTTTTACTCCATAAATATGTAGCCCCTTCAAAAGTGTAGAGGAAACCTTTATTCACCAAAATCCAATCTATTATCCACAAAGACAAATAAACATTATTCAACTTTTAAAAAGTAATCAGCTACCCTTAATATACATATATAAATATTTTTGCCTTTTTTTTATTAAAGAGGTTGGATGCCTCTTTTAACCTTGCATTTGCCTGTCGACATAGGCTATGGAACTGTGCTTGGAACTTATCCAGCAAAGTAAGGGGTGAGCCGGTACACTACAAGGGTGAACTGTGCTGATAAAAAGTGGCAACAGTGATCAGGATGACATATCTGCCATGGGCAAGAAGTCCGTGGCACTACCAACTTAGCCACTGACTCACCAAGTATAAGGCGTTGGCTTTAACGGGTATGTAAAAAGAACCCGGGACAGTTAAATATCTTAAAAAATTATCAAGATAGAGCTACAAAACTTTGAAGAAAGTTACTGGACATAAAAACCATTTTAGAACACTATCCAGTGATACACTACCTCCTCAGGGGGGCGCCACCCCCTCCCCTAAACCCTCTGCTAGAAGTTGGAAGGAAATCATAATTGCAAAGATAGGTCAGTACTCAGTATGCATATTAAATGAAAGGTCTTAAATATCAGAATGCATTCCCCACACCCAAACTCAAACTGAGTCAAAAATGGGATCCATTCAAAATTGCAAATTCACAGAATCTTTGAACGCTGCCATTTTTGACTCAGTTGTTCTTTTTAGGTCACAATTACGGCATTGTACAGGGTGTACCAAAAAACTCTGACCACACTCCATGTCACATTTCATCTGTGGTGTTGCTGAAGGCTGCATTGATTCTCAATCTCAATTCTAGAACATTGGAGACTTTTGACTTGTAAACTTGGTCATTGACAAAACCCCAGACGAAAAAATCTCATGGTGTTTCATTTTGTTTCAATGTACCATTCAACACACTGATCTTTCTCTTGCACGCTCATGACACCTGCCTTACTGTAAGCTATGTTTTGAAGTTTAAAGCTTTGAGCGACAACAATTGGACAGCTGATGAAAGCAAATCGTTGAAAAAATCTTTATGAGTTCCTCTGTCATATGGTAATTTAAAAAATGATCTATGTACAAAAAAAATAATTGTATTAGGCTTCAAAGTTCATCACCCTGTATAGATATATTTATATACATGGTGTTTCCAAATTGTCTGGACACATTTTGTGGACTTGTTCCTTGGGCTTAGACGGGTCTAAAATGCTTAGATTTCTGATTGTTGGTCTGTTTGTGATTTTTAAGAATTATTTTATATCTTGAGCATTTTTCAAGATATAAATTTAAAAATTAGTGTAAATGTGTATTTTAGTAGGTAGAGCTTACAAAGTTTCGTTCCGATATCTCAAGCCGTTTCAATATGGCGGCCATTTAAAATCTTTATTGCCAAATTTCATAAAAACCGTAAATATTAAGGAAATTGTTCTTTGGATTAAAAAGATAGAAAATTTAAATCCAAATCAAATGAGACCTTGTTTGTTAAAATCGGATGACAAACAACCGAGTTATCAGTTTTTTTCTACATTCGGTTACACAATTTAACAGGACTACCATACTGCTCTGTAAAATAACAAATAATAAACAATATGGAAGTCCTATTTTAACCATCCTGGGACTTGTTTGATACCCTGTATTAAAAATCTATGTTGAGTATGTGCAAAGCTGAAGTTATTGCTTTGGTAGTAGTCAAGTTAATTTTGATTCAATAAATATTTGCATGAATAATCACCTGATTAATCTAAATTTCCAGCTTCCTCAAGTATTTTTTAGATAGCAGGTTGTCTGTGTTGCACTTTGTCACCGCTGACCATCATACCAAGGTAGGCAGTTGATTGGTTTATATGGTGGCACCTTGATGGCGACCCACAAAAAATGACTTCTGGGAAAGAGAGAAACATACTCAAGAATAAAATCTCTCTTCTTCACACACACACACTCTATTTTCTATTTTATAGACAAAATCTTATATTTTATTCATGGGAAAATGAGACATTTAATAAGTTAGGGGTATGTATAGTTTGAAGATTTTGTCAAATATATTTCATCAGGATATTCATGGGGTAAGGATTAAAAAAATATATCATTCAATCAGTAAAATAAGGGGAATGGAAACTATCAATTGAAAAAGGGTTTTTTCTCTGATATTCATTTGATTTTACTATAAACTTTGAAATTTCAATTCATGGATACACAAAAAACTAGCCTTTCGTTTCAATATTCTTACTGCAAGAAAAATCTGTAAAAATAAAATAAAATTCAAAATCATCTTCTAAAACTAAATTTTCCTTTTCTGAGGTGAAAATATGAACAGATTTTAGTCTTTTGAGAAGTTTTGATTCATGTTAGGAAAATATTTAACTTCACAATATCTTAAGGTGACTTTTACACGAAAGAAGAAATCGGTTTGGAGTTAAACATTTATCCTTATTATATTTGCGTTATTACAAGAAAACACTTAACATTCAGGAATTAAGCTTTTGAGTAGAATCCCAGATTGTACTAAGAATAAATGTAATTTTCAAAAGTACCTAATGAAGTACAGTACTTAATTGACAAACCTTTATTTTAATTTAAATATTTTCAAATTTAAAATATAAACAATTATTTAAAATCATACACCCTATTAAATTAGTCCTCTGTCAAATGTACACCCGTGTGCTCCTTGATGAGGCAGGTGTGGGAGTAGTCTTAATCTCTTTGTTTGACCTTTGAGAAATACAATTTCGATGGTGGCACTCTTGAAAATGATGCGTTTGAACGCTGTGGGTAAAAACAAAATGGCCGCCATTTAAAATGTTTAAAGTCAAATTCCATGAAAACCAGCTAATAAAACAAAATTTTGCAACACATTATTTAAAGTCCTTTTTATTACAAATCGAATGAGCTTTATTTGCGAAAATCGGATAATAAATGAAAAAGTTATGTAACTTTTATTATTAATAGTAATTATCAAAATGGCAGTCATTTTGAAATGACAAAGTTAAATTCCATAGAAACTAGTGACAAAAACATAATAAAAGTTACATAACTTTTTTATTTATTATACGATTTTCACAAATAAAGTGTCGTTCGATTTGTAATAAAAAGGACTTTACATATTGTGTTTCAAAGTTTTATTTTTAATTCTGGTTTTCATGGAATTTGACTATAAAGAATTTTAATGGCCGCCATTTTGAAATTCGATGAGCCTGATCAAAGATTTTTTCGGAGCATGTTTATAGTTGTAGACTTAAAGTTTATACCAAGTTTCATAAAAATATCTCTAAGGGCTTTTGAGTTATGAATTATTTTCAAAAAATACAAAATGGCGGAATTCGGCTTAACTAAGCCGAAATCGAAACAATGTTATACTACATTTTCGAATTATTGTTGCACATAGAATCTGAATCTGCATAGCCCATCACGCTTTACTGAAACACCCTTTATTACTTTTTGAAATATTTAACTGTCCTGGGACATTACATCCACCCTGATTAATTTTATTGATGAAAAATATAAAATTATGTTTTATGAAAGAATGGTTGATCCTACATAAAAACTGTAATAACCTTTTTTGTGCAGATTTAAAATAGCTACATTTTGGTATCAACATTTTTTTCATAACTCTAACAGTTACTGATATAAGTAAGAAAACAAGTTTGTGATGGCGGCCATTTTGTTTTTTACCCACAGCGTTCAAACGCACCATTTTCAAGAGTGCCACCATCGAAATTGTATTTCTCCAAGGTCACACGAAGAGATTAAGACTACTCCCACACCTGCCTCATTGAGGAGCACACGGGAGCCTGTATATGCACATTTGACAGGGGACTAAATACCTTACACGCCATCCCTCATTATTTGAAATTATTTATTTTATTATTCATTGTATAACAGCAACACTATGTAATAAAGAATGTTCTTGTTCACAGGCATTTCTGCTTCTAATTAAAAGGTATAGTTTTCCTAGTGCAATAGTAGTTATTTCCAGGTAGCACTGATTCAGCTATTTGATGTCAGCAGATGATTAGATAGTGTTTACTGGAAATAAGTAACTTATTGCTATTAGTTGGTTTATCAAATGTTGCTTGCTCTCTTTGTTTTGTTTCGTCATGCATTATGTTTCAAGGTTATCTAAAAAAAAAATAAACACTCACAAAATAATCTTTGAAAAATGTTAGATATAACTAGTTAGTTCATAACCAGAAAAGTATTTTAGTACCACACTGCATGGATGGGTGAAGATATGATTCCCCTTCCCTCCTGGTATTTGAACATCAGTTAGCCACAAGGGGATGGTGGCCAGGATTTACAACTATATATTCTTTAAATTAAATAGAAAGCTTACTTTTGAGGCACATGCTATGACTCTGCTCTTATAAAAACAAAAAGAGTCTCACTATTTACCTTTTTATCTGTGTTAGGGTTTGCAAAATAGTATATTGAAGAGATAGCATAATCTCCTATAAGAGAGCTGATCCTAGGCAGTAAGCAGTAAGCCATTCAATTCTGCCTTTTTTGTGTTAAGACAGGCAAACCAATTCTCCAGGAACTGTGTGCTCCAGTGCTCCACGAATTCATAACAGACTAAATTGAACATATGCATTTATTACTTAGATGAATATTTTTATATATTGAGCAAACAATCTTCAATAAATGTTGAATATTAATTGCCGAATTAAAATTAAAATTGAATGTTGGGCAAAATTGCTTATTTTTGCGAGCGCCCTGTCAGCTGTTGACTGTCGAGTTACCGGGTGTCGAGTTAATGGGGTTCTACTGTAGAACCCAGTCTTTATAATACACCAATAACATAACTACATTTTAGAAAATATTAATTCTTGTTTAAAAACGTGTTATTGGTTGATCCGTTTGGTATTATTTATACAGGGTGTTTTTTTATGCAACCCAAATTACAAGTACCGTGAGGCACTTTTCAAGGTCAAAACAATAACATATGTTGGTATCCCTGTTTTCCTTACTGAATTGTCAATCAGCTGATATACATTGTTGCATAGTTATCCATGAGATTTAGTATTACTGGGAACTTATTGTGAATTAAACCAAACATGGTGCTTTTGCAATCCCGAAGAGTAGGTGTTGTAAAAGAATACTTTAAAAGTAAATAATTGATTTTATTTCAAGAAAGCTTTGTAATTAATTTTCCATGTGTGATCTCAGTACTCAATAAGTAAACTATTTATTGACTTGTCAACAATTTAGGAAGATCTGTATAAAACGAAAATATTTTAGACCAGCAATACATGTATGTATTTTACCTACGACCGTTTTTAAACCAGCCTTTTCAATTCAGTTCTTAGAATTGAAAAGATTCACCACTTTACAGTATTGTTTTGTTACAGTACAAGTTTTGACTAATGAGGATCAAGAATCGATAGAGAAGAAGTAAAATTGTAATAGGTCTACTTCGAACGCCAACTTTATCAGCTGTTGAGCCCAATTTAATTGATTAAACAATGAGCGAGTGGTTGCGATAATAAGTCGTTGCATCACAATCAGTGGCAATGAGAGTTTATAAACGAAAACTTAACCTCTCCCGGAAGTTATGAGTGGTGATTTTTATTAATAAAGAAACACTCGTAGGTAAAGTAGTGTACGCAACTCTCGTAATTAGACTTTACGACACTCATAGAAGTTTTAAAGACACTCGCCAAGGCTCGTGACAATGCAACGGTGCATATCAGCTGATGGGCAATGAAAAGTAAATAAAACAGGGATACCAACATATAACCTTTTTTGTCATTAAACAGTGTCTTACAGTACTGCTAATTTAGGTTGTGTTTACAAAATCACTTAGTATTTCGTACTACTTATTAAAGTGGATTCAAAACCAATCTGAACTCTACTATGCTACAGTACTACAAGAACCACCCCTAAGTATGATTTTCAGATAAATAAATTACTAAAATCATCAGCAAATGGTTGATTCGTAGTATTTTAAATCAAGCATACTGCCTTATATAACAGATAAAGGTTAAAAGTAGATTTTTTAATTGAACTCTACTGTCCACGAGTCCACGTTTTCGTTGTAACTAATATTGAAACCCAAAACTATTTTGCATTATCAGTCCTAAACAAAAATGAAATACACTCTCACGAAATATTGATTTACATACACATGTTCGTGTGTGGTAATGATTTATTAAGTGTATGCCCATTTCTAAGTTCAAACGTAACTACTTTAACACTTACTTTAATGGAAAATAAGTGATTAGAAGTAGTAAAGATTACTGTAATACACTTTGTGTTTATTTGCTTTTTCGTTTTTACTGTAAAAGAATAGTCCCTAAAGGTTGAATCAATAAGTGTTGGCTTTTACCCAGCTTTCCTTAATTTTGTATGCGTATTAAAAGTAAATTTTGTCTCTGGAATAGATGAGAATGTATTAGTGAACAAACTTATTGTTGTGTTTATGTTGAAGATCAGTTATAAATTTTGACCAAATAAAAAATTAAGTACAATTGGAAACAACGCAACTCTACTTTATCGTTTGGCAACCTGCACTCATTGACACCTAACGATGAGCCCTAAGATCGTTAATCTATTCTTGCTGTCCGGCGATCGTTAAGTGTATGGGTGCGTAAAACCTAAGAAAGCTAACCATAATATAAACAATAATGAAAGTTTAAGCAATAACTGTTCAATTTCAATTTCCATGTGCACACCCCGTTAGAGAGTTTATATATAATGTGCGATTTGTATTCTAGTTTCTTTTTGTAACAAAACGTATAATTAATCGATAAACATCAGTGTTAGGGGTTTTAATTGAATACTTAGCTGTGTTTGATAACTAAAGATGAGTCTATTAGGCTTGTTTATATGCATGTTGTGAATAATTAAGAGGTTTGATTTTACAATAGATTAACAATATTGCCTACCGAGATTTGGAACAGTGTGGATAATTTTTTTTTATCACTTTGTAACCTACATAGAAATATAAAAAACAAATAAATCTGAAGGTGATTGACTTGCAATTCATCAGCTGTTTTTTTTACTGAATTGTACCCATGATTCTAATTTAAATTCTCTATTTTATACTAATTCTTTGATATAAGCATATGTTGCATTTAAAAAGGCACACGTTTTCAAGTTTTAAAACACCCACTGGTAAACTAAAAAGGACCAAACAACAAGGAACGACAAATATTACCACATCATAAATTCTCTTTATTGTGTACAGCTCAATATACAACATATTCGGATCGGAATTCGTCTATAAAAGTTTAAGTAAGCTCTGAGATGAACGTAACGAAAACCGGGTTGATCCTGTCTTGACGGTGAGATGAGTCTCCTATCTGATACATGTTGTACGTGTCCTTACTGCTAGTCAAGTCGGTGTATAATACAGGGTGGGTGATGAAATCAGTTCATTTTGCGCTCTAATATACTAAGATCGGCTCATATCGTCCAACGGCACACAACACATTACACAGACACTGTAGACTTGTACTGGGGGCTCTGGTGTTGCTCGTAGCATCTCCCGGTTGTCTCTAATGTGATTACAGAGAGGTCAGATCCGCAGAGTTGGTCATTCTGCGTCGCAGCGCCGGCACATCGTCCTCTATCCGTACTAGCAGCCGCATTTTCTGCAAAATACAACGATCACAATGTTTTGATATGCTACTGTAATACTTACTACCCTACTTACTACCCCTGATAATATTACGTAAGTTTATTGCAGACATTTTCCATCACGAATATAAAAAAATGAACAATATACATGAACTAAAAGTTCAATACGATTTTTTACATTCGTGATGGAAAATGTCCGCAATAAACCTTTGAACAACATTAACTCACCAATCACCAACAATGAACTTCAAATTTCCGATTAAATGTTATGACACGAAACCCTATTAAAGGTTTTTTATTCCTTTATGGAAGAATGTGTTCCATCAAGAATAATAATACGAAATCACTAACAAATAACATCTTTGATTTTTTTTGTGTTTTAGGTGTATCAGATTAAGATGTTACCGTGTTGAAGTCGCCGGGGGTCTTTGTCCAAATGTAGATCATGTACCCCGGAATGCACAACATGGAGGACAAAGCTGTACACCATCCCAGGACATGACTCCACCATGGGTACTCGTAGTCCAGGTACTTTATAGGGGTCCACTGTATCAGGTTGAAAATAAACACGCCCTGAAACCACACACGTTAGCCACATTATAAACATCCCTCTTCAACTTGGTAGAACACCATCTCAATGGTATAATCAGTTATAATAATGAAATGTATTTCCTTGATTTAAACCTATGATTTTTTAACTTAAAATCTGTAGTTGAAGTTAAACAACATTTTATATACTAAGATTCAGTTTATGAGATTCATACCGTTCTTTGTTACCGTTGTTGTTGAAAATAATATCAATTTAATTAGAAGTAAATATGCCCAATATTTTGCCGTCAATTTGGTCGCTGGAGAAGCTCAAAATTAAACTTACAATGCAAATGACCGGGGTTGTAAAAGTCCAGCAGAATTTCCAGACTCCAACGGGGTAGTAGCCAATCATTTCCTTGATGCCATCGTAGAAACGGTTGACGCCAAACGCCCAGGAGACGGCAATGCACTCAAAGAAGATGAGGAAGAGCAAGGAGAACCCACTGACTGCATACGAGTCGAGGATTTGGAAAACGTACATTCCGCCCTGAAATGACATTGTTGTTGTAGTAAATAATTCTGCAGTAATAGCTTTAGTAAGTGATCAATAAATTCATGTAAAGCGTGTTCAAATGCGCTAGACTTTCGTCATGAAGGGTTTTTATTTAACGTATTTTATGTAAAGTGTACATTCAAAAGATTTAATAACTCTTACTCTTAAATTTTCCCGATGCTATCTGATATATTCTTCCTGAATTTGAAAACTCGTAAGTTGGTAGCATAGACCATTCATTCATAACAAATTCATTAAAAATAGTGTTGAAGTTTTACCTGTTTTGAAGTTCTTACCTGGGATATACAAGAAAAGCCGACTAGATAGGACAACAGACAGACAATACCAATGAAGATCTCCTTCCTCCTTCTGAGAAGCTGTGGCCATTCGTCAACCATTGCTGTGATGAATCCTTCCATTGTGCAGAACTAGAACATAACCGTACGGAAGTAAAAAAATGTTAAAACTGTTGACTGCCACCATAACTAAAATAAACCGTGTTTTGAACAATAAAAAACACATTTTAATAACCTTTGCATGATTTAAAAGTTTCAAAATTTTGTATTTAATGATAAATTGGCCATTACGTACTTGTCTTAGGATTAATTAGATATAGAATCCTCATTTTAGGTAACCATAAACCGTTCATCTGACCAGCAAAAGGGTAGCACTGTTGGCAAGGTTGTGTTAGGGTTGCCCTTATCACACCTCCGACCATAGCCAAACATTACCAAACAACCTTACCCTTACCAACAGCTGCGACCAGTTGCTAACTTTAACACAAAAATTTTAACACACGCAACGCAAGTCATTGCTCCAAACTTACCCAAGGCTGAAGAGGAAAAGTCAGAAAACAAATCCAGTGTGCTTTTACCCATTATATCTTAACGATCCCGTTACGTCTCATAGGTTGTGGTTATTTTTGAAGTGATCAGTATATTTACAATTTGATATTTATATCTCACTGAGGCACCGCAGTATTTAAGGGAAAAACTGAAAGCGAGGTCGGCCGTGAGAGAGCGCAGAACTAGACAGGACTTGTTGCTTGACATACCATGGGTTGTTCTTGAGGCTGGTATAAGGGGTTTTCTTACTTCGGGCCGGTTCAGTACAATGCGTCCTTGTACACAAGCATTGTCCTACAAAAAATGTAAAACTCGCCTAAAGAATTTGTAATTAGATTTTATTTTGTTTCGTAGTGTTTTTTGTTTAGTTTTGTTTAGTTTAAGTCCTGACTTGAGTCAACTTGTAAAGCAGTATTGTTACTGAAATTTGCTCATGATTAAAGATCTTGTTTATTTATTTCTATTTTGGCATAGTTATTTATAATTTATTCATTTACCTGACTGTCCAATCCTATGAATAGGATCATTATAAAGAACAGGCAGGACCAAATAGGCGCACCAGGGAGCTGCAGTACAGCCGAAGGATAGGCGAGGAACGCTAATCCAGGACCTGCAAAGGATAACATTTCAGAATCCATCTATTATTAAAGAATGCAAAATTATAAATGAAATACTTTAAATTATTCGCATCCAAAGAATTATGCGTCTTGAAGAGAATGTTTACCAGGGATTTCGTTTCTTCAGTATGCCTACCTGAAGCAGCGACTTCGCCTACGGGCTTCTGTTGTTCGTGAGCCATGAATCCCACCACAGAGAAGATTACGAACCCTGCGAACATGCTTGTGCCTGAGTTGATGCAGCAGACGATTAGAGCATCTCTGTAAAAAATGACATAACTGTAGCAACACCCGTAACTAACTAACTTGAGTTATGGTATATTTCAAATCACTCACGTCAAATCGCTACTTCTTTGATCTAGACAATTAGAAGCAAGGCATTGTTTGCGTCAATATAAAATAGTGCATAGTGCAGATTTATAGACTTATAGAACAATGTGTATATTAATATCGGAAAACTAGGCACACTGCATTATATTAATATAGATGTTTGACGAGAACCCGCACACAAGTATTATTACTGTAGTTGTAAAAAGACACAATTAAGATTTCAACTTTTTGAGTAAAAAATGAAAATACTCTCGCTTTACGCTTAGGCTAATTCAAACGCCAGTATTACAATTCAATTAGTTGAAAATCACTTCGAAACAAAGTATTATATCACACTATATCCATAGAAACATAGGATTTAATAATAAATAAAAGTGTTGGTCGTAAATTGAACCAAGGAATATCATAGGTATATACGATGTATTGTGATATAATATAATATATTTTGATATATAATATATCAAAAATATGTTTCTCAAATAAAAGGTTCGTTGGCAAGCAGTTTTGTATTTTCTACTTCAGTATTTCGCGTTTTAAATTGGTTTCAAGTGGATTTCGTTACAGACATTCATACTGTACCTATAAATTCCTTAACTATATACTATATTCCTTAACTAAATTTTACCTAACTACATTTTACAGTACTATACTTATCTATTAGGCCTAATAATAGATTAACGTTATAGGCCTACTTGTAAACATTGTTGGTGAACTTATTGTAGCTTCCAAGAGCTACTAATGTTCCCAGACCGAGTCCGTAGGAGAAGAAAATTTGTGTGACAGCATCAATCCAGACCTGTAAGTTTAAACACATTTGTATTTTAAATTCTAAAAAAGAAAATAAAGCTACTTTACGATTATTCATAGTTCGTAGAATGTTGGTATGTATACTAACCAACTAATTAGGGTAAAAACTACTGTTTAGCGTAAGTAAATATTAGGGAGTTTTTGTATCTTCGTGAAAATCCCGTTAACGCAAACGCTAAACGTAAAAAATAGGGTTTGGCGTTAACGTGAGAGCGACTAATTTAGAGTTTTTGCATCTCCGTAGGCCGGCCGCACACCTGATACAGCACGGCACGGCAAGGCGAGGCGAGATGTCTTTGCCTCGCCTTGCCGTGCCCGATGGAGATTTGAGATGCATACGGCACGGCACGGCAAGGCGACTTGAGCACCCACATGGTTGATCCCATGGTTTCAGTAAAGTGAGATACTGTGTGTTATGAGGTTGTTTGTACATTTTGTGACACTTTGTACCACACATTTTGAGAGAATGGATGCAGAAGGCGAAGAAGAGGCTGCTGCAATCGCTGCTATATGGTACCATAGACTGTTGTGTTTATATAGTCAATGATGGTACCTAATGAATGTAATGGATGATCTCCCTAACAGAGAATCGTGGGTGCATCCCATCAACCAAAAAAGGAACTTGAAACCATTCATTGCAGAACTAAGAGCAGATCCGGAAAAAATCATAATTACTAATCGTTGAAAGTGCAGGGTCGCCGGAATTTTATCCCCCTGGAATTTTACCCCCTGGGCAAAGCTCGACGTCACTATGACGTATTAACCTGAGTGGCTAAAAGTTTGTTCGCGGCCGGAATTTTACCCCCGCGGATTTGGAAGTCTAATGAAAATAGTCAGAGCGTGATTAATTAGATTAGCGATAAAAACCGGAATTTTACCCCCTTTCCATATAACTAGCGTTTAGACAACTGAAGATGTTCGGGTCGGATTTTTACCGGCGAATAATTTACGTTCAATGCCAACTCTAAACGTAAAATGGAGCTGAGGTGTTGTATTTATCAATGCTTAGAGGTTAGGATTATTTACTTGGTTGCGATTGATATTTTTGCTATGGAGGACAGTTTTTACTTTATCAGCTTTAGGAGCTTTAACTGATCAATACTATCCATTGTTCAGTTATATTCAAAAGGGTTTTCTCATAGAACTTCTTTTAATAACACCACAGTATTTCATAAATTAGGGTGAATCTCAAACGTTTTTATCCATGTTGAAGAAAAGTTCAAGTAAAAATCTAATCACGCTTTTAAAAAACTAAATATGCACTTCCAACATAGGTTATGTTTAATTGTTTACACTTAACAGCTGGCTTTAACGGTAGGCTACGATAAAACACTACGATAAATACCGTGAAATATCTGGCCCGCTATACGCTGTTGAGCCTGGTAAACGCTAATCACTAAACATTTACATTTAACGTTTAGCTTATTTAGTTAACGTAAGGTGCTAAAACTCTCTATTAGGTATACAATTTAATACGTCATTCCATTATCTAACCTATTTAATAATAATTAATTAATTCACCTCAGACTCGCCAAGCTTGGACAGATTGGGGTTTATGTAGAAGTAGATCCCGTCCCAAGCTCCTGGCAAAGTGATTCCTCTAACCAGCAGAACCGTCAACAGAAAGTATGGGAAGAGAGCGGTGAAGTATACAACCTGAAAACGACAATTCATATGGTCTTTAAAAAATAAACATACACCATACTTCATGTGAAGTTAAATCATTTATACGCGATTTATGGTGTTCGCTTGTTGTGCTGATGCTTTTGAAGGAAAGTTGATAAAAGTTAGTTTATGCAAAAGTATTCTTATAACATTCTTTTGAAAAGGGTTTATTTTGTTTGTATGCAGGACAATTTAACTAAGCAATACAAGAAACAACGTACACAAACAGCAATATGAAACACTTAGCTGTGGCTTAAAATAATACCTCTTCGGTTGTAAAGAAAATATCTTCATGCAGATCCATACAGAGAGAAAAAAGTTTATGTCCCCCTAAAAATTACAGTTTTATAATTTTAAACAAATCGGCGTATGGATTTTACCATCATCGAAGAATGAAAATGGATTAAAATTTACAGTTTATTTTATCATCCGCAGGCTATATCAGCCATGCACTAAAATAATACTCTTTTGAGAAAGACCTACTAATTTATTGAGATCTGGTAGTTAAAATCCACATACGTGATTACGTCTTTGAACTGCTAACACAAAGTCTTCTATATATTTATGTTTTATTCGAATGTTTTTTTTAAACTTTTTTTATATTTTTTTCATTTTGTGTTACATTTTGTAACTCGTTTTATAATTGTTTATCAGTGCTTCCTCTATTTAGATAGCACGCACGCTACTTTTAAAAGTAAATGTTTTCATCTTACTGCTTTGATATAATTATTTTTGTACCATTTGGATGATCTATAAGAATAAAGAAGTAGGCCAGAAATTTATACAATTTTTCCATGATCCTACAATAATAATTGTAGGATACTAACTCCAGGAGTAGGTGAGTTGGGATGGTTCAATAGGTAGCGCGAAAAAAAACCAAGGCAGCGATGTCGAGGGTTTCAATCCCGGTGCCACCACTTTCAATTTACAAGTACGATTCATGCTTGTACTACAGTACTTGAATCACCAGTTACTTGGTACATCTGTGCTTGGTACACCAAATCACCCCACGCTTCGTTTGGTAGGCTATTTAAGCTCATGGGGAGGGGTAAATTCAAATTTAAAAGATGCCGCTAACCTTTTTGGAAATAACTACAACTGACAAATATGATTAGTTAGTAAGTCAACAATATGATCATACCTTGCCGGTCCATTTGACTCCCTTCCAGATACAGAAATAGCACATTACCCAGACCAGCAACAATGTTCCCGCCAACTCCCACCTGATGTTGCCAACATGTTGCACACCCTCGGATATTTGCAACACTCGACGTCTGCAACAAACAATCATCGCTATACTATATTGCATTGCATTACTCTTAGGTTGTGGCATTAAAATGTATTGGGAAACAAAGTAACAATAATACCCTTTTTAAAACTCTCAAACTGTTAAAAGACAGGTGTTTGCACACACTCACGAACGTGCAAAGCAAACATATTTGCAATAAATTGATAATGTTAAAATAAAACGCTGGTATGTTTATATTAGTCATGTTGTGTCCCATTCCCTTTTTGTAAGAATAACATAGTTGTAGCTGTAATTCCAAAATCGAGTACATTAAACTGTAGTCCGTTTTATCAAACTGAGGTCAGTTCATATTTTTTGCAGTATACTTTTCTGTATTCCACTTGCATTAGACAAAAAAACGTCGAGGAAGATTTAGTATCGTATCTGCCACATCACGATATTGAATAGTAGAAATGTGTTGTGTGTTTTTAATTTTTTCTGCACAACCCTAACTGTTTATTTGGTTTAATTTTAAAATCTACATTTTATTTTAGTGCTTCCTCATTTTTGCCAAATAATATTGCCACGTTATAGAACAGAGTTCAACAGGTGAAATTTTGTGGTCCAACTAATTGTAAGTTTTGACTGAGGAGATAAGTAAATAATCCATTTAAATTTTGTACTATATAAATGTTCAGTAAGTAATGTAAGCTATTGTAGGTTAAGTATTGACATCGTTCCAAGTTGGAGCAAAATTTTGAATGAAAATTAACGTAGCTGAACCGAGCCTCTGACAGAATGTGTTGTTGCCAATTACTGATTTCTATCGTATGCAGCGACTTTTAATCAATCTGAGCTTGTAGACCAACTTACTGTAAACTAATTCAAACTAAGGGTGAAAAATTAATTTTAAGATTAACACGCACCATGAGTGGCTGATTCAAATATGTTATAATTAAATGAAATACATACAAAAACTATTCCAAACAGATGTGATGTCGACATCAGTGTAGAAAGTAATAATAGGGTGAGAGCACCAGTGAGGAAATAGTTTAAACGTATCGCTCGCATTTCCTAAAAACTTAATGAATTACGAGTATGTTCAAACAATTGAAAAATACAATTTATGATACACAAATCAAAGTGCCAGTGAATTTCATTTTATAACATTTTTAATTGTATTAAACCCCTACTTTCTACATCATAACCCGTTCAAGATACTCACATCGAAGTTGGACACTGTGTATATAGTAAAAATTGCAATTTCAGGATCGTTAAATTATAGATGATAGAAATTATAGTTAATAAAGATTTTTCATCAAGTAAATTACCGCAAACTTTAAACCGTGATCTGTTAATTCTGGTTATAGTGTATCCACATAATTTCTGATTAATTTTTGTGCTTCCTAGCAAAGCAGTTAATCCATCAGAAAACATAGTTTGCAAAACCTAACGTTATAGTAGAAAGCTGGAACATAACCCGCTTGGAACACTAAATTTTGTTTGCTTTACAAAAACATGATGGATACTTTCTATTTACAAAGGTAGATTCCAATCAGGCTCGCAAGTTACTTTTAACAGCGTTTGCTGGCTGTAGACTGTTGTAGACTAGTCAAAACAAAATGCTTAATATGATTTTTTTAAATACGAAACGGTCATTCCCTGGTGTACTCGCCCTATAAGCTATATACACTTTTTTCCCTAGGGAACACTGAAAACAGTTTTAACTAATTGAGTAGAGTTTTGGATTAGCCATAGATTGGTGTATTCCAAAACCCAGTATCCCTATGGATGGTTATTGTATCTGTTATATGCCTACTCACTCCCAGAACTCCTTGACGGGGTCTGTAAGCTCCTTGGTAGTGACGTTCTGGTTGCCGATAGCGCAGAGGGTTTGGTAAGCAGTGTTGTTGTAGTTCACTTTCCAACACGTCAAAGCGTCCCTCTCGTATGCGTTCACGCAGTATTTCGTGTTCCAATAGTTGTTGCAAGTTCTCCAGGGTACGTCTAAACAAAGTTATTTCACATCTACACTTTGCTACCGTAAACATAGAACACATAGGAAAATTATATTTATACAGTAAAATTGGGAGTTTTCAGCTACAAAAATAAAACAAATTTTGTGTTATTATGAAACAGTCTTAAAGAAAAACAACTTAAGGTGTTTATACATAATTTATAAGAATATCAAGTTATCTAATGCACTGTAGGATCTATCCTCAAAATGCTACATATAAATGCTATAATGCATAATCTCTTGCCTAATAACACTGTAATGTAGTGTGCTTTTTTATCTTATATATACTACATGAAAGTACGCGAGCGAAATGCATGCTAGAAATTAGTACATTTAATTATAATCACAAGTAAATCGATTGTTAAGAAACAAAATTATAGATCTTTTATTCTAATTTAGAAATCACACAAGCAGAATACCATAGTTACCTACTTAACAATATTGTAGAAAATATAGAATCTTTAACATATGTTTTTTCTAAGATGTTGCCAAATTTTTTTCTCGGAGAGTATTGAATTCATTTACTAATAATGATAATAAGAAACAATTATGACTATATGCATTAGAATTTGTAGCTGGTAAAAGAGTAATTAATTGCTCTGTAAGCGTAATCATTTGTGTTATTGAAATATGAGGTTATACAAAAATGTGTTAACAATGTAAAAGAATGTACTCACACCGTTATCATATATGGCTGTAAATATAAATAAAAGACGATAAAAGGTGATCTGCTTCGATTTGTCACTCCAAACATAATATTATCACACCGAGGGACCTATTTCCACATATATTTATATATAAATATTATATACAAATATATTTTGAGACGGTTTTTACATTTTTATTCACATTCACACCAAGCGATATGAGGAATTTATTGGTAAAACATTTATGGTTCATACTCTTCAAGTTTTGGTGGAGATGGGGTGGATCTCCCTCGCACAAAAAGCGCTAGTTTCTAGGCTAGCAGAAATCTTAAAACATAAATGTTTCTTTGAATAGGACATTTTAGTAGTATAAATCAAAGAAATCAATAAAACACACTCGCAAATATAACTTAATACATCATGTGTCCAAAACATTCAGAGAAAGACAAATGGGTTGGAGCGATCTTTCATAATTGAAATGATTAGTCATCGCGGCAATAAACATTATTCACTGTTTTGTTGAGTTTGTCCTTCCTCCGATTTAGCCAGTCCCCGATATAATCATAGCCAGCTTTTTAATTGGAACCAAAAAGAACTGTTTCGGCCATGTTTCTATATCTGTTTCAGTTTTTCATCGAATCCAAAACGATAAGTATATGTGATGTATACTTACATAATAAGTTATCTCAATAAAGAAGACTATTTGCCTCACTCTAATTTTTACAGAATTTTCATCGATATTGTGTTAGATTAGTGGCAACTGTGAAAATATTTTGCATTTTCAGTTCCAGCAAAGAAAAGCTTATATTTGAAATCAGGTTGTCTGTTGGGTAAAAGGGGTGTAAACAATTAGTGAAGCAATTACTGTTTTCCGTATTTTTTAAAGCTAAAAGGCCTCTTTTTGTGTTTTTTGTAAAACCAGAAACTCTTTATTTCCGATAAAATATGTCAAAGCTATTGGAAACCAGGCTACATATACGTTGAGAATGTTTGTCTACTCAATAGTCTTTTATTGTATTTACTAAGGCTATGAGGTATTTTGCATATATATGCAGTTTTGTTAAGCTGAAATGTATGAAGTGCTATGGTCTCTCTATGGCTATCATCTAATAAATATTGATAATTTTGTATTTCTTGTATCCGTGCAGTCAAAATCTGCAGTAAAAAGTGAAAGATAAAATTATATTCATGGTACTTTCAAATAATCTATGAAGCTTTCCACTTTGATACATGTACATTGGATCAATTAACTATTACATAATTTCCTGACTACTCGTTTACATGATTAACGTTTCCTCCGTTGATACAATTAGCTTAACTTTTTCATGTCTATATTATATAAGCATTCAACGTAACTAATGCAATTGATACTCACACAGTTGCTAGTTTATCCTAGCGCATACTAGGTTCATATAATTTGGTTTCTACTAAATTCATATAGGTCAATAAATTTGTGAAAAAATAAACATTATTTATAACTTTTATTACCTTGAAACAACTTGTTTAAATATTTTAAAAACATATCTAAGCACCTGTTAGTTAAGCTTTATAAAGGCAAAGAGAAAACGGTACATTCCTACATTTACAAAAGTGATAAAAGTAAAGTTGATTAAAATAAAACATAAGTTTATTTTGTATAGCACAAAAGAGAGCTAAAGAAACTACGTAGTGTTCAAATGGTTAGAATAGCACTTCAGAGCCAACTAAAAGATTTGATAAATTGATTGAAATTAACATTTTCTCGTAAAGTACGTAGATTAATAATTAATGATTTAATTAAGGGAATTGACACATTGAAAATACATTTATTTGATGTACCATATTTTGTAAGCTAAGGAAACGCCTCATTCAACAACCAATAAGATGGCTTGCGCAATTTCAAATTACTACTTGTATAATTTGTTTTACTCTCCTAATAGCTTACCTAACCTTTTGTTGGATTTTTGCTTTAACTCATGTCACGGTTAATTTTAGTTGGTTCTATCATTAGCTTTAAAGTTGTGTATGCAGTAAAAAGTTTTGTTCAATTTTAATTCAGTTTTTTGTTGATTTTGTTAATTACAATATATGCCTCTAATGTATGTTATTATTATTTTTCCCATACAGGGAATAAGCTATTACCGTAGGTCTCATGGTAAGACCTGGACCGATTTACTTTTTCGTTTTGATGTCCCCAGAGGCCAAAAACACTTTCAGTTCAAATTCATATATATCTATATAATATGTGTGTGTCCGTTAGCACGATAACTGGAGCAAAAATGATCCAATTTCGATGCAATTTGGTACAAACGTGTAAACCTACGTTTATTCGAAACCAGCATGAAAGACCCATGGGAAAAAGGTTTTACGGTTTATGGTGTAAAAATAGGTTTTTATCATTTTGACCCTCAAAACATAAATTTCCCAATTTCTCTCTAGACCATTTTAAAGAGCTTAATAAAACAAATCATTTAGTATATTGAAGTTTTTTTTGAATGGTTATTGGTTACAGAGAAAATTCAAAACAATTTTAAATTAAATTTTCCATGTTATTCTTATGGTGAAAAAGTTAACTGTTGTAGTTTTCTTGTTTATGGATATATTTTAATCAAACTTGGCAAATCTATTTATTTTACACTCAGCGATTAATGTTTCACTAAAACACCCTTAGTGCCCTCCCTGTAGCAGCAAACCTAGGTACTCGTTAAGCCTAATGTTATTGAAATAGATTAAATTGAAAATCGAATCAGGCAAACGGGAATTCGCTTAGTCTGCAGGTTTGCTGTGGCGGAGTATTGTAATACTACAAGCTACTTGAAATTCCTACTCACATTTTAACTTCATACCGATTTCCCTACATTTTTTACTTAAGTTATTTCTTATTTGTTAACAACTTAATTTTTGTTGAATTGTTATCATGACAAGGAGTCCATAAATCTTCAATAAGTATGAATAAATTCATTGTATGTGCGCAGGAAGGTTTCGTTGAGTCTTGGTTCAAGATTATAAAAGGTAAACTCAGTACTGTATTACGAGTATATTGCAAAAGACTCGTATTAGAGCATTAGAGGCACTCGTTCGTTAGAGCATTTATTTTACTAGATACAGATTATACTTTGAAAATGCAACCGTATGATAATACTCAACATTTACGACCTTTAAATATTTATTTCTAAAATTACTACAACTAACAATAGTTACCGTATCTGAGGGACATGAAGAAATAGAAAATAGCCCACGCTAGGATAACAATGTAATAAATGTTCATCCAGCAAGACATGACGGCAGCAGCATAACCAATTCCTGGAAAAGAAACTCAATATTAGGGTAAAGGTAATTCGAAACAACAGAGAATATAACATAAAATACTTTTGAAACAAGGAATAACAACCATTCTTACATTAGGGGTACTCAACAGTTTAGAAACCACTCCCTCTATAGAAGCAGAGTATTTTGGTAATCCCGAGTTTTGATCAAATAAGATTATGTTGGAGATAAGTTGGATTAATTAATTATTTTGTGCACGAACGTAAATAAACTGATGTATATTCTCATACTACAAAAGTAAACTAACTATACTACCATGGATTAAAAATATGCCTCCTTATTGTATTTATTTTTATATGGCCTTTAATTTCGATGTATCACTAAGCTTTTGGAACAACATTGGTTTCTATCTCCAAACACGAACTCTATTTCTTCATCTAACCATGGCTTCTGCTTGTTAAATGTTTAGCTTATTAGACATTTAGTTTGCTTTGGTGACGATGGTAACAAATAATAGTAATGGTGTTACCAATACTCTCTACTAAATGAGTGGTGGAAAGGTTTTAATTTATGATATTTAAGTTAATTGGCACTCTGCCCCTAGAACTTTATCAATACATTTTAGTATTTTGTTCAATGAACGCAACTAAATAAAATACGGAACGGATTGTTTTGGTTGGACAATACATATTGCATATTTACATATTGCACAATATGTAAAAACATACTAATGCACAATACATAAACATTATACTGCATCACCATATTAGTACAGAGGGATTTTAATAAGCTACATGTTCTGCCTAGGCCATAGTTTTTCTTATATACTGTTGCCTGGTCTACTAATTTTCCACTTGTACGAACAGGGTTTGTGCAAACAGAAGATTTGTATGAATCTTGGAATGTTTTATTTATTGATTGCAAATGAAAATGCAATTGCAATTGAAGTGTTTTATACAGTATAATTAAACGTGCAGTTACCGTGCAATGTATGACTGTTATACGTTAATCTAATTTGACCTATCTTGAATCCTTTAATTTTATAATTCCAAGGCTTATGAATTTTAATAGAGTTGTTTCATGTATTGGGCTTTAATTTTAGTTTCCAACTTATTTAATTAATCACCCACAGTAAATTGGGTATCTAATATAATAATAAACCTCCTTTATCATTTTGTAAGTATTGTCGGATTGAAGATGCGGGTGTGTTTGATTGTTTTACCATGGTGAGATAGCAGTATTTTTAGGATTTGATCATCAATTATGTAATTTTCCTTAAACTTAAAAACGAAACATTTTAGTTTGATAATATAGTTATAATGATTTATATTCAATTATCGGCTGTTAGAAATTTCTCACAATAAAAAAGGAAGTACATTTACAGAAATTTCTTCATACGAATAAAATGTTTGATTTGTTTTACATTTCATGTGAGGTGATAAATTTTGTTTTCATATCATTCAATACGGGTTAACTGGTATTCGAAGCACATAATGTTTTGAGGGATTGCTGACTACAGGTCGATTTACATTTCTTTTGCGTTAAGTATAGTTTTATACAGTAAATTATTACTGTGCCAAGAAATGTAGTAAGTTTTATTTACAAAAAATGTCACTTATTTGTTGTATTAATATACATAATACTGCAGTTATAGATATTTTAAAGAGGGTATAATAAATTTAATCGTTTGTCAATCACTTGGTAAAAAATATTGAAAATATCAATATGAAAAATGAATGGATTTCGGACTACCTATGTTGAAATTGTGTTAGACCATTGAAATAAACTTGGAAAACAGCGTACTAAAGTTTGGTTTACGCTGTTGACCTGTTAAATAAATGTTAAAAGCTTAAGCATGGTCTCAACATTTAAATTGGCTAAATATTTACAGGGACAATTTATTGCGAGGACTTAGAATTGGTATGGATTCATTCAAGTTTTATTTGATTTCAAATCGGGTATGGAAGTCTCAATTTTCAAATACCAGTCGGTTTTAGAGGTTACTCGTTTAAAAAGGTTTTTGTGTGTATGTGGTGTGAATAGTCACTATCGTTGGTTGTTCGTAGTTCAATCGACGTAAAGAGTGCAAATCTCTCTTAAAAATACTATGCACAAAATCTTTTCATAAAAAATAACAAGTATGCCAACATACAAATTGGTAAACCTCGTGGTAAACTCTATGCCACTCGATAACAAGCAATCCCCACACTGATAAATTTTAAGGATTATTTAATTTATGTGAGGATTATGATCATCAGCGTTAAATAATTGTATCTTGATAGATGAGGAAAATTGTTAACAAATAAAATGTTTTTTTACATAAAGATTCGAAATTTTACATGGTCACTCTAGTTCTCCCAATTTTCGTTATTCTAGGAACCAGAAATTACAAAAGGTTTGTATCAGTTTTCTTACCTTTGAATATGGGTGCGATGCGGAACACTCCCAACCCTCCTATCGTCAGCATCTGTCCAAGGGCGAGTTCTAGGAAGAACATGGGGATGCCCGCCAGTAGCAGGGTGAGGAAGTAAGGTATGAGAAAGGCTCCACCGCCATTTTTGTAACAGAGGTAAGGGAATCGCCACACATTTCCCAACCCAATGGCCAACCCGACCACAGACAGGATAAAGTCCAGCTTGTTCGTCCAGCTTCCTCGCTCAGGAAGGCTGTCTTCCTTCTTCGCCGCCGTGTTGGATGGCTTCCCCATCCCACACTGGTTCAACTCCAACCCCAGAAGGTGGTCGTTTGCTAACGGGTTCTCCCTAGTTTCCATTTCCACACTGAAGTCGTCAACAGAGCCTGAAACAAACATATAAATAAGAAACCTTTCATCAGATAAATTAAACATGCAGCTAATTCATGGTCGTATCAATTTTTGTAATTGCAATTTGTGTAGGGCTTTACAAAACTTAAAATGGTAATATTATTATCAGTTCCCTGTAAACCATAGTAATCTTATTTAACTTTTGTAACTAATGAAAATCAGGTTCAATTAAAATGGACAATGCAGACACTTAGATGGTGTATGTGAAGTACATTGATATGCCTTCTTAAGCCACACCCCCACTCATATCGGCGTTGCTGAGCAGCAAACGTCGACACATAGCGGACGTGTGTTTAACTCTTTTTGCCTATCAGCAATACCGCTGCCGATTCCTAACCGACGAATAGTCGGTCCGGATCAAAGGTTAGTGCGGCACGTTGTAGTGGGCTCAAGTCTCCGACACTACCACACACTTCGCTTCTACTTCATATCATACTTATAGCTTATTACGGTTCTTCTTATGATCTGTTTAGATATCTTAAACGTGAAATTACAAAAATACCTCAAATAAGACTTGTGTAAATATATTTAAATCTATACTGTTTGCTCACAAGACGGTAAATGCATATAGCTCCATCATTCGCCTATTGGGTCTAATGATGATTGGAGTGTCCAATCACCACTTGTATCACGATCACGTTTTATACATGCGTTTACTGTCTTGTGAGTAAACAGTGTGGGTGTGAATATATTATTACAAGCGATATTTTACTTATTTTTGTAATTTATGGTAATTTAATTACACGTACGAGGCTGTTAATCTTTATATTAAACGTGTAAATTTGTAAGGAATGGTAAAGTGTTTCATGGAGTGGTATAGTTTATCTAAATTTTGTCTTTCAAATTAAGTTGAGGTATTTTAAAACTATTTATAAACTCAACATCCAACCCTGATACTCACGACTATAGCCTCAGTGACATGATGCTTAATATGGCAAGCTGGCCGGCCTAGTAAGGATACGGCTTCAACATATTACCTGACTTAATGTGCTTACTTCTTTGTGTGTATATTAGTTATGACTCAGCTCCTTTTTAAATTGTTAACTTCAGTTTCAATGTATTATATGTTAAGAAGTATAATATTCAAAATAAGTATAACATTTTATTTATCTGACTACATTAGTAGGTAATTAAAATGTAGAATAAAATTGAAGGCAACCTATTTGAATGGATCATGGAAAGTGCTATTCATTATTTATTTATAATAAAATATCAATTTTTGTAGTAAACAAATACTGTATAAATAAATATAAACTAATGCAGTGCATACGAGGATTTTTTAATTTTAGAACAGTTTCAAATAGTAGTAGGGTAATGGTATTGTGCACAGATTTGCACATAAACCAACCACGCAAAACATGATTAACATTGATTTTAACGGTTAAACCAGCATCCAAATGGTGTGCACTATCACATTGATTGTTGTAATTCCACGGTTTTAAAAGGTTCATGTTTCTGATGCAGTAATCGTCACATATGTATTATTACATATGTTAATCACCACAAGTTTGTATTCCTTTCTGTTAAAAGTGAAGACGCTAAAAAAAATTGAAATTTCCTAATCCATTCTACTTGGATAATTTGCTAGCATATTTTTGCAAACGTAAATAAAATACTGTACAAGTGAAATTCAGTTTTAACGAATTTAAAATTAATATTTTAACTTTAATCTGGTAAATATGTTTGACTTCTCACCATAACAACCCCCACTGTTATAGACATGTTACAATTTATGAGTATTGCACGTTACTGTACTATTTTAGCATCACTTTCAGGACCTAACATGTATTTATTAGGCTTTAAAACAACGTTTTAACGTTTGAATTCATGGTTTTAATATTTTGATCACAAACCCATGTTGTGCCATATACCTATACGTAAAACTACAGCCTAATATTATTAGGGAACATTATTGGAGGTTTAAATAAAAGAAAACTGTGGAATACCACAGTTAAATATTCTTTTTTTAACATTGCAACACTTTATTACTATGTGCATCCTTAACACTCGTCACTTTCACTTACCTATCTTAATTATGTCATTTAATATCAAATAATGGAAAAAATGCTAAACCAAACTAAAATGTATGGTGTTTTCACGCTATAATAACTTCGTATTTCAAACGTGTTTATATGTTTTATTTGTCACTCATAAGTTGAGTTTATGTTCGTCACTATGTCTTAGATTAATTTTGAAACACCCCAAAATCTTATCCGAATGTACCATTCCAATGTCTTGTATGCCAAATAGGCTACCGAGGTATTCAGGTATCAAATACCCAGGTAACAATTCTTTACGCCTTTAAACCTCCGCCCCTCTCTTTGATTGATACCTTTGCAAAATAAATATGTTACCGAGTTATTTTATCCACTTACTAATCCTTTCACTGAATAATGTTAAACTGTAGAACAGTTCATGTTGCAAACATTAAATGCTTCCTTTGAGCAAGTGGGGATGACGGGAGCTTTTGTAGGCCAATTGCTATGATAGAGATCTCCGGCTACAAGCGTGGGCGTGACGCGCTAACTCGGACAACTACAGTGACTAACTCGCCGAGGGGACCAGGGAACCTGTGGTTAAACCTAGCGAACCACGTGGTTGGAATTTGCAGGTGTGAAAAAAGAGTAACTATATTACAGTCGGAATTTTCAACAGGGCCTACAGAACAGCGTCAGAATGTATAGCCAGGAAAAGCTACTGTTAAAATGTGTATATTTTGCAATGGAACATCATGTATACATACAATGACAATCTATCACAATCGATTGATACAATTGATAGGCCAGTAGTGCTGAACATTTAAAAGCTTAGTTAGTTCTGGGACAACAGGAATAGAATATAAAATAGATGTTTAAGACTAGATAGTGGGAATTCACATGCTGGGATTAAACTTGGGGTTATCATTTTGGTTAAAAGGCGATATATGTCTATTGGTATGATATTTTAGGGTATATGCCAGCTTTAATTTCTTTTCAGTAACAATGTGGATCCGTGTTTTATGGTTACAATTTTAATGTGGTACGTTGACAACTACCAGTTAGAAATTAGTTTGCAGACTTCATCCCTGCATAAGACTAGACTGAAGAAAGTAAATTATCCCTACAGTTTTTATCGTCAATTTATAAAGTTTAATTAAAGATTAGCAAAATCTACTATCAGCATTAGGTTATTTGTGTATGAAATAATAGTGGGAATTCACATACAGGGATTGTATTTGGCGTTATAATTTTATTAAAGCTAGGTCATGTGATATGTATATACAGGGTGATTGATATAAGTGTGCCAGCTGTTTTATTCGAAAACTATATGAAATTTCACAACTTAAACCATTATTATCTTTGAAACTGTTAGGTTTATGAAAAAAGTTACAAGAATAAAATCGTCTTAAAATTACATTTTCTACCACACACACATAAAAGCACACATTTTTTTATCAAGACTATGGGAAAATATCAGTCTATAACCAGTTTAACGTTAAACAAAACATATCAACATATTTGCCGATGGCATCTACTCGGTAGTTTGAGTTATAAATGAAATGCATGACACTAACCAGGTTATAGATATGTTATGTTTAGACTGAGACAATCCATTAAAGGAACTATTTAGATAATCTCAAAGTACAGGCTGGATAAATGTCTAACAATTAACTAAATTATGATAACCAGTACAAATTAATTTTTCTAACAATGTGTAATATTTGTTTATTGATGCTCTCAAATCATCAACATACCTGCAGAGGGAAATGTTTAAATCATGTTTATAAATATTGTTCCTCGAATAAACCTAAGTTTATTTACTTACTACTAGTAAAATCACCAATATTTTCCATACAAATTTTTTTTTCAAATTAGCATTTTTATTAGTGTTAAATATTCTTTGAAAAACCTGAGAAACCTCTTGTATACTGATATATAGACAGTAAAAATCTAATAATAACTCTTGGAAATATTATCCAGATTCTAGCCGTAACAGGAATTATTAAAAATTAGGATTACGCAACGGGATTACTTTGATGAAGCTTAATTATATAAGTAAACCGATTTCAATTGTGTAAAACATAAGTGATCGCATTAAATAAAGGGTGGCATTAGAGAATTAAATAACATCTTGTCTATTTTTCTTTTTTCATTTAAAATGTGTGATTGTACCATTTGATGAGTCTTACCCATTAAACTCTGGTTTTTAGCTTCAACTAATACAGTATACTATTCTGCTGTATAATGTTAATTTTCTGTGTATAGTTTAAAAGGTATACATTCGAGTGTTGGAAAGAGTTTGGTTTTGGGAAAATTCTTTTGGTTTCGCTCAGAAAGTAAAGTTAATTTATTGTTTAACATAATGCCTACTCAAATGTATGTGAACATATTTTGTTTTAGATTTAAATGCCAGTTTGTTTTATACTTTAGCCTTGAATGTTTTGGGGAATGTTTAAAGAATTAAATTTTTGCTTGGTTGAAGTAGAAGTTTACAATTTCTGATTGATTAAAATATTTCCATCGTGATTTGTTTAAGAGTTAACTACTGATTGGCCTCTAAGTTTAGGCCTATTTTTGATAAGTTAAGTAGAAAGTGTAGCTTTTTGATATCTTTTACTTAAGTTGGATAAATTGTGTGTGATTTCAATTAGTAGTTACTTATTTTTCTATAATATCGTAGATGTTACAAACTCTTTAAGGTTATTATCAATAAAATATTATGAATAAGATCGAAGTCCTTGTAATATATGATTATGTACACACAAAAAATGATAACAATAAACGTAACACACACTAATCGTCATTATTGCCTTACGCAGTCACTGGTTTTATGCAGGACCGTTGCCAGTTGTAGTGATCATTCACAAATTGATTCATTTATGTAGTATTTCTTATTTTATGAATCAATTAAAAATGCCATATATACGTAAAACTACAGCCTAATATTATGTGACTTCAATACTTAACGACATTCGTGCATTTTGACTTCCTGCTCTATATTTTTATTTAATTGAATTACATGAATTTAGGCTAATAAGTGGTGCGTAAATTACGTCTAGCTGACATTGCCTACGGGATGTTACGCAATCAACATTCTTTTCACGGACGTTTCAATAATGCTACTCCATGTGTTAAATTCTGTCAATTAAGCCAGTTATTCTATTGATGAAAGTGAATTTAAATATCACAAACCGTAATGTAAATATTTACATAGTGTTGATATAAGACTTACTCGAGCATTCTTAAACATATTTCTTTAAGTAATACAGCACTGAATTAAGTATTTTATGTACTTTATTCACGTAGATTGCCTGATCTTTGACTTGACAAAGATGCAACAACTGTAAGCAGTTAAGCGGTTTGTAAAAATGTTGTTCTACTATACACGATTGTTATTTAATATATGATCATACATTTCATTCATCACAACTTAAAATTTGTTTTATTAGAATAACACATCTAAATTCTAAACTTGTTTCATAAAGGAAGGTGTAAGAAGTGTAAACGTGTGTTACTAAAATAATACAAAAGAATAGGTAACGCAAATAGAATTGAAGCAATTTAATACGATATTCGGACTAACGAATTAAGGCTGTGTAACTAATCTTGTACTATAACAGGTCATTCACTAAGCCCTTTATGTGGAAACTAAGCACACAACAAAACTTTAAAAGCGAAGATTTTTATTAATATTAACCACTGAAATGATTTTGTAACCCTACCAAACCAACACTTAAAAGCAATGAAGAATCAACATTATTTGGTTTTAATTAATATTTGTGTGATGTAATACCACAATATATTTAATATTCTTCTTTAATTTGTTATCTTTAAAATCCGTTATGCTATGGATACAACTTGGAACCTTTTATCCATTCAATTTAGCATATTTCTAACACTCCTTGCCTAACGTTAAGCCTTTCGAAGTAAAGTTAAAGTTTAAAGTTAAATCATTTAGTAAAAGTTCATAGATGATTTTGAAAAAAATACTATGAATTAAAGTTAGCTCAACATGTCAAAGTCCAATAGTACAACAGAGGATTTAATTTTTGTATTTTAATCGCATTATTTATCTTGGACTATTCAAGTCACAAAGGAAAAATGTACAAAAACTCCCCATAAGAAGTTGACGATACTTCAAATATATATATTTTTTCAATTAAAGCACATCACTCGTATTACGCTAACTGATGGTAAAATTAAACGATGATGAAATTGAATTATTAAACTATGCACAACTTGCATGTTAGCTATCCATCTGTTTTATCCTTTTTAAGCTATCTTTGCTATGGTAACAATTATATTTAACATTATTCTAACCAATTAATTGGTAAATATATTTAAAAGTCGTATGCTAAAAATATAATATATGTTTAAGATTACTGTGGTAGATCCATGCAGATAATTGAATCGCAGAATGTGATAACTAAATTGATGGAATATCCTGTGAAGAAGTTTTGTTTCTGAGAATCATAACGAATGTTTTAAAGTTAGTTTAAAAGTTAAATGAATTCTAAGAAAAATGATCTCCTTATATTGATTTTAAATTGGCCTCACTCACGCTTTATTTCACTAATTAATCTCTGACTGACAGATATCTTAAACTGTAATTTAATCTTCAGTTATTTTCTTATTTATTAGTTTAGGGTTGTGAAAAAAATACGATTTAAGGTCGACGCTATTTAAGAATGTGGAATTGTATACATGAATTTTTCTTAAATTAAAATGTTGTCTTCTTTTAACTTAAAAGCTCCCTTGGCAATATATTTTCCTACTAACTACTTTCTGTCAGTTGACTTATTTCTTATTTACAACGAAGCTACCAGTCAAATATATTTTGATATAATATATGAAATAATGAATTTGTTTTTTTTTTTACATATATTTTACAATTTGTACAATCAATTAGGAAGTCAATGACAAACATTGATTAGTTTATAATTTTACTATATATTATATATTTATTGAGTATATATTTAATATATAAATTTATAATAGTAAGTTGTTATTATAACTTATATATAAAGACCCAATGAAAACAATGACACCTTAACAATGTTTGCCACGGGTAAAATTTGTAAGTTTTCTATACCTCTGATTAAGCCGAGTCCCCCCAAAACTCCCTAGTAATATGATAATTAATTATCTTTACAATATTTTAGTGCCTTAAATATTATAAATATAAATATAATTTTTAATACTTTCAGACCTAAAAATTCAAACCAACCTGTCTAACCGGCTCAAGGAGTACAGATAGAGAACACCAAACATAAAAGTGACACATTTACTTGCTTTTCATATTGTATTATACTTTAGTTTTAAATATTGAGTTAGACTGCATTGATGGTTGAATGTAACTTTCAAAATTAATATTTTTAAGAAGAACGAAGCATAATATATACATTTATATTTGCAACTAGAATACGTTATTAGTTCAATGAACATAAGCGTTCTTCCTTTTCCTGAACTATTTCAATGAGGTAAAACTTTTTTATTTTGAGGTTTTAATGGTTTTTCAATAAAGTGAGGGTACTACGTAGTTATACGTATAGTTATTTTTGTTATAAATAGCTATTATAATTTGATATAGCTATAATTCGTAAAATAAAACTTTTAAAAATTATTATAAATTACTTATTGTATTATTCATTGGATGGTTTTAAAGAAACGAGCTCTTTAATAGAGACAGTTTTATTGATTGAAAATCACATAATATTTTTCTTGGAAGTCAGTTCGATCCAACAGTTACAGTATTTTTACATGTCAACAATCACCAGTGGCAATTGGGGAGATTTAATCATGACGGAAGTCTTGTTTTGGACATTAATTGACTATTACATTGAGAGAATGGTTGGTTTATTTCACCGTAAAGAATTTTTTGTTTTTGGATTAGAACACTATAAATTGTTCCCATAGTACTATTGTCTAAGTGTATAACGGCTAAATTGATATGTTGAATTGTTATGTAAAAAAATTTCAAATTGCTATGTATAATTGATTGTTGAATAAGATATTTAGCATAGTGGCGAAAGTTGTTCTGAAAAGCTGGCGTACCAAAGAAACGCTTAATAAAGATTTATTTATTTATTTATTTACTATCCCATGTTACCACTCCTATGTTTCCCATCAGCTCCCATATTACTTTTTAGAATGGTAATTTTCTTGTAACTTAGATCACTCAGGTACTTTAGAGTTTTAATGACAGTAGAATAGGATGTCTGAATACGGAAAACTTTGATAGATGTATTCAAATGTATACCAAAGTATTTTGATATTGAGTCTTTTTTTTACCAGTAATGTAGTCGAAACTGTATTCTAAACCTTAGTCTCAGAACACGTCTAAAGTTTATTTAGTCAAAATAGAAAATATGTTTTCACTTTTTTTAAATCAGCTTCACACATTGTTTATGAGTTTGACTATCGCTGCAGGTACTCACAGTTAACTAGATATCCATGTCAAGTGGTGTGGTGGTCCATGGTAGAGGATGCTATGGTGGTCTATGGTGGTATCCTACACTCTAGCCAGAGGACACACGAACACTGACAGCGCGAGTCTTCTACTCCGGCCTATCTCGGCCTCATCATCTACTCCCTCTCCTCATCCCCACCACCCTTCACAATATGATATATGGCTATAGGCTTATGAACTATTTCCATAAATATCCCACTCTTATATAACAGGGGGAAAAGTATTATTGGCTAAAAAATAATAATAGGAGTATGCAATTTAGTATAACCTGTGTAAGTTTAAATTTATTTTTCCATCGTACAATATTACACATATTGAATAAAAAATGTGTTATGAAAACGTTCCCATACTTGAAATTGTTAACAAAGACAAACAAATTAACATAAAATAAAATCTACACGTTGATCTACACGACAAAGGACAATCTAATAAGATAATAGGAACACATCAAGAACACCAATCAGATGTAAAAATTATTATTAAAAAAATAAACATTAACTCAGAAAATAAATAAACATAACATCAATTTAAAATATGCATTTCTTCCTACAGTAATATTTTAATTTTAAATAGGTAGGATATGACGTATAGTTAAAAAATACCCTAATTGAAAGCACTTGTTTGGTTTTACAAAGAAGATTAACTGATATAACCACAGTTAAAATTCACAAATCAGAACTATAATACTGACTTCAGAAATAAAATAATCGTGTCAACCAACGGCTTTGTATTACATGAATCATATTATAAGACTCTAGAGACGATTCAATACCAATTGAATCGATCCTATATCCATATCATAGTAATAGTTTATCATATATAATACTGTTCTTAAAAATACAAAGCAATTGGTGCCACGAGTAAAATTACAATATGTTATAAACATTCACTTGAAAGCAGAATATTTAGTTTATTCCTCTGTGCGTGCTATTATTACTATATATTTTTTTTTAGGTTGGCGGCCTCTTTTAACCTTGCATTAGCCCGTCCACATAGACTATAGATCTGTGCGTGGAACGTATCAAGCAAAGCAAGGGGTGAGCCGGTACACTACAAAGGTGAACTGTACTGATAAAAGTTTGTGGCAGTGACCAGGATCCGAACCCACGACATCGTTGCCTTAGGCCCGAAGTCCGCGACGCTACCGACCGTAAATATATTTACTCACCATAAATATATATAACAACAAACCAGGCCACCTAATCTGATTCTAGTATCTGAGATCGCCAAAAAGACCTGTGGCAGTTACCGTGCGTCAGAACTGAGATGGGGAAAAGGCCTCCTACTTTGGACACCTGGGTAACAAATATTTTTCCACAGAGTTTTAAACAGTCGTTGGGCGTTCAAGACGAATTTTTATAGTTATTTATTTGTGTAACTAGTGGGGGGCAGTTTGCACTCTTGTTACACACTATATTTTTCCAACAGTTACTATAAATTATATAAATAATTGATCTCTCAAATACTGTACAACACGTTTTTAGGTTAGGTTAAATCCAAACATTGGACGAAATGGGAAACGCTGCACCAGCTGATCTTAGTCGTAATATCTTTAAGTGTTGCCAACTTATTTTCAAACGTACACGGATTACGTGCATAATAAAAGCACACTGTTTTGTGTTGTTTGGTTGGAATACTGGTGTGCGCCAAAGTAAGGCTTTCTGTACTATAATCTGTGTAAGAAAGCCCACTTTGTTGGGTGACTGTAGGGAAAGATATTTTTATATAAATATCTCTTTCTTTTATTAAAAGGTATTTTTCATTTGTTTGTATTGCATCAGTTTTCATGTAAAACAGAACTATTGTATCTGATTTACGCTGGCTTGATAAAGGGGCTATTTACTTATGTAACATGTACTGAGTTACTGACTGTCAAAATTAAAACATAAATTTATGTGAATCTTGGTATTAAGCAATAAGTTTATTTGGATGAATGTTTTTATTTTACATCTAGTGCTACAGTTAAGTTATTACAATAATAGACCCAAAGCAACGGAACGGAGTACTTGTTGTGGCAATGTACTTAAACATTTACAGATTAAAATGAGACAGTCACTGATTGATTCAATCGATAATTCGATGTCTGTTTCAAGGATAAACCTGTTAGTGCAAGATATTTCCATTTCAAAGGTTTTATTTGTCCAGTTAAAAAACAACCTTATCACTGAAAATTCATCATATTTCTCTGACGTATTGTGTTTTAGTATTCCCCTTAGGTATACTAAGGGGAAGTGAGCAATTGAATTTACCCATATGGATAGTCTTGAGCCGAATATAGAATTACAATCTGTGATTACATGAAAAAAACTTAAATTTGGTGTCAATATGTTTAACGTTATCACATTATTTTTCATGACGCTTAACTATATTATAAAATTGTGCATCAGCATGCAGAGCTTGTCTTTTAGTCAAGGATGGAAAGGATGGAGGAATAATAGGGAGAAGGGTATTAGAGCCATGTTTGGTGGGATATAATCTTTTCTCCGAGTTTAAAGTTTAACGGCATGACTACAAAACTATGGCAGAATAAGGAAGAATGAGAATGCTACGGTTTTGGCATACATTTTGTAAGCCCCTACACAAAAAATTAAAATGTGGAATACATCTCAAAATTAGGGTTTATAATATAGTAGGCCTAATTGAAAATGCTAAATATTTCATATTCTATAAGACCATCAGTTTATGACTAGTTATTACAATTTCACAATACATGGATAGTATTTGCAAAATCGAAACTTTGACAGGAATAGATGTCCCAAACCCTACCGACATTTGTGCAACATTTAAAATACCTACCTAAATCCTGGGAGTATTCTAATTACATGGAATAGTCTCTTGTAATAAATAAAGAAAAAGTCCAGAATTGAAAAGTTTACGTGTACATGCCCATATTTACAAAAAACCTGTTTCTTGAAGATAAAAAACTTTTTTCATATTGATTCATTTATGTAGAATCAGTTCCCGGAGTCTTTTAATGTAGTTCATTAACTCGTGAACAGCTCGATTATTACGCAAAAAAAGATCCTATAGTCAGAACGGGTTCACATGAGATTTCAGGTACATACAAGGTAGAATTACATTTGTCAATACTAGTAGGCCTACAACATTGGCAGAGAGATTGGCATAACTGTAAACCTGGGCAACATGTTTTCCTATCTATTATTACTAATCAGTTATGCATTTAAAAAAACTGCTAAACATAATTTAATAATACTGTATTAAAAAAAAATGTCTGCAATATCACTTTAGGTGCTGCGTCTCCTGTGCGGCCGCCTATTTGTGCCTTGATCACTTATTTAACGTAATATATATATTTTATATACACAAAACATGTTAACACATTCTTGTTAAAACTCAAAATGAGCTGGCAAGTTATTAAATTACCAATATTACAATATACCATTATATCAATATACCATTACTAACTTACAAACCTAAATTAATAATGAAAAAAATAATAATAATAAATAGGAGTTGTATTGGTTTACCAATATCAAATCCCAACATTAATATATAAAGGAAATTGTTATTATTATAACAAACATTAGTCAGGTCATTTATACAAATTTAGGGACGGAAATATTACTATTTACGATTATTCCGATAGATTTACAAACAAACTAAAATTATACACACACATTGTATAAGTAATTCCATACCTAGTGTTTGTAAAATGTTATAAAATTAATTGTCTAACGTAGTCTATCAATGTATTATGTAAAATCTTTCAAATTACTATAAACCTATGGATTGTACACAGTGATAATAATTTCGACACCCAAAGAATCTTAAAAATCCATTTTATGAGTTGTGCCACCCTAGATAGATTTGTAGATTTGATATACTAAAAGCAGATATAGGTTGATCAAGTTCCTTGATCTAATTAACTAAGTGATTTATTTATTTTACATATAGGTATACAGAAATAGTTAGTAAGCAAAAACAAAGTTTTTTAACAAATATAGGTAAGCGCGAAAAACAGACTGACTTGAACACTAACAGTAAATAAAGATTTTTTTCCTTTTTTTGGTATAAGAAAAAATTTCATAAAATACAAAAATGATAAATACAAGAAGAAGGCTGATATTTACCTAATAATACTTAACAAATAGGACAGTTAGTTGACTCAGGTGGAAGGGGAGTGATTGACTCAAGGTCTGCAACCCAGGACATGACTCGCTTGCGGAAGGCTTGTGGAGACACCTGAAAAACTCCAACCATAGATTAAAGGAGTATACATACTCTATACTAATTTTATCTATGCTCCAACTGTGACCTGTTTCCATGGTGCATCAAGCGTGGCACAGTGATGTGGTAGACATAAGACGTGGAGTTAATAATAATGAAAGAGCTATCTTAGGCTTGACATTCTCCACTCTACCTGTAACAGCGAGGTGTAAAATTAAGATTTCAGGTCACTTGGGAGTTTATTTCTTAAAGAAACCTGAATTGGCAAAGCACTTTCATAACAGACTGAACAAAATTTAAATGTTTTAATTTTAAGTTTTTTATTTACGTATTTTCCTAGTTAGAAATTGGAATAAATTACCTATAACAGCTAATTACTAAAACAAGTTTAGATTATACTAATCCCATGCTGATTTGTGTATTAATATAATCACGATAAATTTAGATTCATGACTATAATCAATAGACTCCCCATTCTCTGCTATTTATAATACCTTAAGATCCTTCAAAAGACCTAATAGTGGTTGCAAGAAACACAATTAAACCAACTAATTGTGTAATCATGCTATTGGCTGGCTTTATATTATATTTATATTTTTTAATCCAATTAAGTACAAAATACAATTTTGCAATACAAAATATATAAATAAGTAAAGATTTATCAACACTGCACTTGTCATAAAAATGATAACTATAATGTTCAACAGTTTTTAGTTTTAGTTTTTTGAGTTTGTATATGATTATGTCTGGTTATGTATATGCTGTACAATAAAACGTTAGTTCAACTGTACAGTCGTAATATATGCATTAAGTACATTTAAATTGACCACTAACAGAACTAGGCCTGTACTTGTACATTGGCTAGCTGTAGATGTGCATTTTAGTATGAGTTGGATTTATTCCGTTGTCT